TCCATTTCTTACTGAATTTATCTATTTCCATATCATCTTGTAACCATCATCATCACCATCATTATCATCTCACATTTTATATCTTATCCAGTGTTATTCTCAGTAATGTTATCCAGCAGACTATGAAAACATGATTATCATCATTTTACTAATGAGGAAACTGAGATTTCAAGAGGTTAAATTACTTAATCATAGTCACACATCTAATAAGTCTCACAGCCAAAATCTGAATGCAGACCTCCTGCTTCCAGGCCCAGAATTCTTCCTAATAAGCCACACTGCATGACAAACATTTCAAGTGATTGACAGTAGTTAAATTTACATCTTGGACCTAACTTCAGTACTATGACATGTAGGACATTGCTTGAATCCAGTAAAGAGAAAATTCAGAAACATTCAGCATCACTATCAACGAGCGTGTCCAATGGAGCGTGTCCAATGGAGGATCGTTTTTTTGTAGCCAATGCAGGAAGTTCAGATCATTTTTGCTCAAAGTACTTAGACCCTCCTTCAATGATCTTTTCTTCTTTGAATTTCATTAGAGACTTTTTTTTTCATTTTAGTAACAAAGTGCTGCTATCTCTACTGAAGGATTCTGGTGTGTTCTTCCCTACTTTGCCACCAGTTCTGATTAATTATAGTAATTAAGTATGAATGAATAAAAAAAAATTAATTAAGTGCTTACTATGTGTCAAGAAAAGTGTTAAGCACTGGGAACAAAAATAGATAGTATAGGATATGGGATGGACAAATAGAAAGAGTAATGGGTTCTCTACTAATATGGGAAGGACAGAGCCCCAAGTCTGGCATCAGATAACTTCAAATCAGATCAGCTTCAAATCCTGGCTCCATCACTCACTGACTGTGTGACCTTGAGTTTTTACCTGTCTGGCCTTCAGCCCCATGAAATGCACATCCCGGATCCTTCCCAGCTGTACATACATGAACCGATGCCCTCCTGACTCAGTGTCACGTGGGAGTCATCTCACTAGACGAGCTGTACACTGTTTTCATTCATTTCCTACAGCAGCAGTTGAGAGACTCAATTTTAGGAGTTATAGTGACAAATGAGAATGGGTGCCCCCTCCTATATGAGACCATGGCTGGTCTACCAGCTGCTAGTGCCACCCTTGAAGTTATTTCGAATTTACTTTGTGTATTTTTTTAATTGGAACAATTGAGCAGAGGAATAGACAAAGAGTTGGTTTTGTGATCAGAAAGATCTGAGGCCAAATCTTCCTTTGGGAATATACTCAGGTATGTTACCCTATGGAAATAATAGCCTCTCAGTGGTCATAGGAAACTCTAGGCTCAAAAGCTCCAGGGCTGGTGCTAACCTTCTTTGGGAGAAGGATTTAGTTCACCAGGAACTAAACACCAATGAAATCCTGAGTCCAGTCTAATTCCAATTCTAATACTTTGTGTAATTATAGGTTTCCATCTTGTTTCCCCACTAGAATGTAAACTCCTTGGGGGCAGGGACTGTTCTGCTTCTTAGCACAGTTCCTGGCACATAGCAGTCAATTAATCATTGCTTGTTGATCAATTGATTGACCAAATCAGAGAAAATTTCGTTAGGAAAAATGTGGATGAGAACATTTAAATTGCCAAGGCGTTCCATCCCAGTTTGTATTCTACGCTAGCGTTTGCATCTGGGTTTGCTGTTGGGTCTGATATTATTGCTATTGGCATTATCGTCATCATCATCACGATCGTTGTTGTCACCATCATCTTCCATAGTCATCACTATTACTAGCTGAAAATTATTAAAAGTTGACTTCAAGAGAGGAGAAAGCTGTTCTCAGGGGCAAATTACTCTCCTGATTGCTCTTCTAAATGAGCTTTTAGTAGGAAAGAACACTGTCAAAATGGAATACCTACACCCAGACACTCATCACAAAAGCGGCCTGCATTTTTTTGGTCACAGCATGAAGAATTCCTTCCTGGGTTGCTGCATGTCAAAGAGGATGGGTGAAAAGGTTAAGGCCTCTACACGGACTGTGGCATGTTGCCCTCTGCTCACATAGCCCGGTGACCCTCTTCTGTAGTAGAAAATGGCCTTTTTTCATCTTGATGAGAAAGGAAAATCACAAGACCTTACTTTGTAATGTGCAGCTACCTTTTGGCTTGTCCATTCTCCTTGGGGAAAGGGGAAGGGGCATTGCATTTTGTTGGTGTCGCTGACCCCAGAACTCAGAGGAGGATGACCAGACAGTTAAAACATAGGACTTAGAATAGGTTGGTCTTCCTAGCATCCTGAACCTTGGTGGCTATTTTCAGAATTACAGTTGGCTAATTTTATAGCTGGAATTTATTTTCATTCTCAAGTGTTTGTGACATTCTGGGTTGCCATGACAACCCCCTGTAAATACCAGGTTTCAAATTGTGCTTCTTTACGGGTCATTCATTTCATCTTCCCCTTCCGTACATTTTCCGTGGCGAAGGTCCAGTCTAAACCAAATCATCTGGAAGCTTAGCCTGCTTTTCAGAGTAAATGAACTGGCGAATAAGAAGCGCTGGACTCTGGCGGGCAGGGGCCTATGGCTCCTTCAGTTTATTTTTTTGCAGTAATGGTTCAGCACAAACAAGTCTTAAATATCAAGGTTATGCTTGAAGAGGGGGGGAAACACACTTAGAAATCTGAGTCATGCTGGCTCCACATTTTTAAAAATGAGAGAGTAGGAGGCATATAATGCACACGTGAATCTTAGAGAAATGTTAAATTTATGAGGTCTGATATTAGAGCGTAGGAGGGGCGTGGGTGCGTTCCACCTTTCAGTCCTTTTGCAGAAGGATTTTTTGATCCTGAGGACATGCCCTTCATAAGTGCCATTTGTTCTGAAATCATGGAGCCTCAGAGGTGATCAGGGGAGAAGGCTTGAAGTTAATTTGAGTAATAAAAAGTGAAACGGGTGAAATTCCTGATCCCAATTAGAAAGGAAGCTCCTTGAGGGTATGACCTGTTTGTTTCATTTTTGACTTTGTATCTCTAGAGTGCAGTACAGTGCCTGACACATAGTAAGCCCTTTCTAGATGTATTGATTAAGTTATTGAGACAAGAGAGATCAAAGAAGGACAATACACATTTGTTGATTGACTAATTGATTTATGGATAGAAGAAAAGTTCTACTCATTCTCTAGCAGCTAGGTGGCACAGTGGATAGAGTCCTGGGTCTGGAGTCACAGAAGATCTGAGTTCAAATCTGGACTTAGACACTTACTAGCTGTGTGACCCTGAGCAAGTCACTTAAAGAAATACCAAGCCACTCCAATATTTTTGATAAAAACAAAACAAAGAAAAAAAAAACATGGACAGTATAGTAAACGGGTCAGGAAGAGTCAAACACAACTGCATAGATTGAATAACAACAACGCTTTCTCTCCACCAGAAAAAATGAATGGCTCCCAAATCTCAAGGTACACAATCCCTTCTACACAGGAATGGTGTTCTATGTTAATTGCAACACCTGATTTTTTTAAGCAAACATGCCACAACATAGAAAGCCGCATGTTATCACAATTTTAAACACACACACACACACACACACACGCACACACCCCCTATTTTCTTTTACTAGAATAACAACAGCCTTGGCCTCCTTTCCCGTTTTCTTCTCTGGTGGGAGCTTTGGGCTTTCATTAAGAAAAGGTGAAACCACCGATCAGCTGGATTAACTGGAAATCAATCCGTACTCTGGAGCAAGAAGCTGGCAGTTGCCAAGGTCTGACAATCTTGTCCATTTTTGTAATGTGTAGTAAAGGCCAGCAGCCTTTGCAGCTGTGTTTTTAATTAGGTCTCTTGGGGGTCAATGGAAGAAGGTTGGCTTCGACGTGCCTGAGGGGACTTCAGAGCGAGCAGATGAACACTACGAGAACTCGGGTCCCAAAAGGGGAGGGTGTGGGCAGGGGCATGGGCGGGACGATGCTTTTTCTGCTTCTGCTTCTGAGCAATGGTCACAAATGGCCCTTAGGAGGAGAAGTGTCTAAAGCTAGCCTTGCCCCACAGCCTTTGAACATCTTCCTCCAGTCTACTCAAGCACACGTTTTCATGACAAAACCCAAACCAAATAACGTGATCTCGGGAACATTCTCTAGTTTCCACATTTGCAAAATCAAGAGGAAGTTTCACCAAGTCATGCGAGGATTGATGCTCTTTAAAAGCGGAACTCAAGAGGCATCAATCAGTCCCCAAGCATTTCTTCAGCACTTGGACGTGCCAGGCTCTGACCAGGGTGGGGGCAGGGCACAAGCCAAGTCACAAAGCCTTGATGAAGCCTGACTAAGGAAAGGTGCTAAGTGCTAAGTGCTAGAGAGAGAAAGAAAGGCGACTGCCCTGCCTTCAAAGAGCACATTCTCCGATGGGGGCAGGGGAGGTGGTGGCAACGTCCAGCAAGAGTGGGAGGCTCCTCTCTTCCTGAGCTGTGATTCTTAATGTTTTTGTGTCATGGAGCCCTTGGGCATCCTGGGGAAGCCTGGGGACCTACAGGTGCAGGCATACAAAGGAAACCGATTCTAGTGAAAGAAAATTCACAAGCTATTTTCTTGTTCATGTCCATGAACCCCAGGTTAAGAAGTCCTGTTTTAGAGGCATCAAGCATTCCATAAATTCAACACTCCTTTAACCCCAGCGTTTAAGGAAATTACTGATGTAAAGCCCATTTATGAAAGGCAACAGGAAATAGTGGCTAGACTAGAGATGGTCTTAGAGGCAGGCTCCGATCCAGCCTCTGACATGTGCTGGCTGGATGACCTGGGTAAGTTACTTAACCTTAGTACCAAAGGGAGCTTCAGAGGAGACCCACTGCTTTGTTAGAGGAAGCTATTCACAGGGAGCTCCAGAAAAAAGATGCAATTTCAGGGTCAGTCAAAGAAACTTAAAAAGAAACTTTAAAAATATAGGCAGAGCAAAACCAGTTTGATATTTTTTTTTAACAACCCAATGCTAGTACAATTTATAAACCACCATTTTAGTTTTCTGTTGGCTAAAAATAATTTCTTACCATCTGCTTTGCTGCCTTCCTCCATCAAGAGTTTTGCAATATTAAGGAATCCTTTGGCACATGCTAAGTGGAGGGGCCGATCGCCAACTTCCCCACTTAGATTCACATCGGCGCCAAATTTCAGCAGGAGACGGGTTACCTAAAGACACCATTCATTTAAATCAGATATTAGAATTATTTAAATGTAATGAATGAAGGAATATAACACTTTCAGTATTCTCAGAGAAGAGTCTTTGTATTACCTAGAGATATAAAGAGCCCCTTATCCTCTCAGAAATGCAGTTTTTTTTTTTAATAATTAAATTCGAGAAATATCTGCTCAATCTACTTTGGAGAGATGTCTTGTCAATCAAGCAAAGGTAATGGTTGTGTAAGTAAAATGAACTCTTACTGCAGAGCGTGGCAGGCTGGTCCTCTCTGTCTGCTCACAAGCAATACCCTTCCCATGCCCTGCAATCTGGCTGACATTCCACTGAGCTGGGCTTCTTGAAGGTCAGCTCTGATTTCTTTCCAGTCAAATCCAGGAGCCTTTGCTCGTGCCTTATTTCTCTCAACTGCTCTTTGGGTCTTGGCGCTGTTGATCACTCCTCCATGCCTGCATGAAATCTGAGTTCTCTATGAAAGTCTCATGGGGCATCTCCAAGGAGTTTTATCATTCCTTGTACAGAGCAGCACTTTGCCAGATCACAGATCTAGGCCAGGACGGGATCTCAGAGATCACCTCGCCCAAACCCCACATTTTACAAATGTAGAAAGAGCCCCCGCAAGGTTCACGTGGCTTCAGACAGGTAGAAAAAGGCCAAAGCAGGAGGGCCTGTCCCCAGCGCAGCAGAGCGGCATACACATCTCAGATCCTCTACCCTCCCCTGAAAAGAGCTTGGCTGACGTCCAGAGTTCCTGCAGAGCCTTGGGGGTGTCTCCATGCTGACCATTTCCCTCCCCTACTTGGCGCTCCTCTGAGGATTGTCTTTCCCGTGACAATCTCAGCAAATCTCTATCCTCTCACCTGGCGGGAGCTTCACCCGCTTTCCAGAGACACCTCCCCTTCAAACACACGTGTGTTTTCTGACAGCTCAATCAAGGGGCAGCTGGAATAGAAGGGAGTCCTGGATGCTTGGTCTGGCTTCCAACACGGCACCAACATGTGCTTTATCTAGAACACGGCAAAACCCACCAATCCATGGGATCCTAGTTCTAGGGTGGGAATGGGCTTCAGAGGGTGGCTAGTCCAAAGTCCTCACTTTACCAGTGATGACAATGAGGCCCAGAGAAGTTAAGGATGCCTAATATCACAGAGATAGTGAGCATGTAAGCGGAGATTTCAACGCTAGTCCCCTGATTCCATGCTGAGTTAAAACACTGCAATGGAGAGAGGAAAGAGAAAAGGAGCCCTATTACCTCATTTAAAACAAAACAAAACAAAAAAATTCCAACTGTGACTATAAAGAGCTCATTCCCTTCCCAAGTGTTTGTGTACTATTGTGAGGAGCCATCCTTAAATTCCAGGGAAATCAGAGTAGTCACCTTTACCTCTTGAGAGACTAGTACTCACTAGCATAGACAGTATAGGAACTAATGCGCACACTTCATAAATCCCAGTGATGAGGTCTATGAAGGGTAGACACAAAGTATCTCTAAAATCTATTGTCTATTAAGCCCCATGATTATACACTTTGGGGAATTTTGCCCACAGTAGGAAACATCAACTCTTCTCCAGAGAAATAAATGAATGAATGGCCAGAGGGCTGACATGTTGAGCACATTTCTTTCTAGCTAACGTACCATTCTCCTTGTCAGCATACTGCAGGAGAGGACCATTGCAGCCATAAATCGCATTTGTGGTGCCTTCCCTGGCAGGGAGGAGTCCAAGTGCTTATCATAAAAGCCCCATGCCCATTTTAGCATAATTTCACAAGACTGTGACGATATGTTCACAGCAAGTAAACAACCTTATCTCCCCTCCCAACATGTCAAGATTCCCTTTATGTTCCTGCTGAATGATGAGGTTAATCTCCAGAGAGGAAAGCTCCTCAGATAGCATGCATGGTGTACATCCTTGCTGCTACTGAACCAGAGAAGTGCAGAGTTTTTCAATCATCTCAGTTTTGACAGCTGGCACTTTCCAATGCATTTTCTTTTCTTTTCTTTTTCGGTAAACAGTATTTTATTTTTTCCAATTACATGTAAAGATAGTTTTCAACATTCATTTTTATAAGATTTTGAATTTCAAATTTTTTCTCCCCGCCTTTCCTCCTCCCTCCCCAAGATGGCAAGCAATCTGACGTAGGCTATACACGTGCAATGATATAGACATATTTCCACATTAGTCATGTTGTGAAAGAAGAAACAGAACAAAAGGGAAAGCCACATACACACACACACACACACACACACACACACACACACA